AGTAGCCGGGCCTAACGCCGCCCCTGGCTGTACCGACTCCAGCGTCTGGACATCGAGTCCCCGGGTTCCCACATAAGAGAAACAACGCCTCAATCTCCGTGCCTTGGAGCATTTTGTGCAGCTGAAAAGATGGACTTCTGTAGCCCACATTGGTCGGTACGGGGTCAGGGAGGTCCGCGCTGGGCTCTGGAGACCAATGGTGGGGTTTAAACAATTAAACGCTAATATATGGAGCTCCAATCACCGTCAGAACCAGGTCATAACTGACCACCAGAAGGGACGCACAGCTCAGCGGGCCAGTAGAGCTAGTTTCTGGGTGGAACTGGATCAGAGCCGCAGATCCATAATAAGTAGAATTATAAACTTAAAGTTTCCTCTGTGTCCGAGCCGCATTAGAATCGGTATTTTTTCTGGATTAAGCTAACAGGACTCCCTCAGCTGATGTCACTTGGTTTGGCCAAAAAAACAACCTTTCTTACAAAAATGACTCCAAAAGCCTAACTAATGTATGTATGTGTAAACAAATGTTTAAAATGAGTTTCTATTGTGTTTCTCTAAACATTGGTTCATGGGAGTCTCTAACTTGCCGTTTGCTCTTTAAAGTTGAAGACATCATCACTTTTTTGCTTCAACAAACCCACAGTCACGTGGGAAATGGAACACAGCTCTGTTAGGATGATGATCTCTGATTTATTGTCCAGCGCATCTAACACAGCGCGATTTATTATGTAAAAATTGATAGAAGACACACGGTCATCTGGACTAATGATTAATAAACAGGGTCATGTGTCTGACCCTGCATTTCAGACGTTGTTGAGAAGTTAAAGATTTTTGTGACACCTTTTGTGGGAAAATCTGGTCTAAACTCAAAGTTCATCAAATATTCTGTTGATGCAAATTGATAATTAAAGCTAATTAAGAACACAAAGAAGGATTGATACACACAGCTGTTTCTGTTGTTGGGTGTTTACATCACAGAGACCTCTGGTGGTGACAGTCTGGTACAACAGGATGATTTAAGCTGAAACATAACATCTACATCCTGAGTTTGTAGGTTGAGGTTATTGTTAGTGGATTATTAAACCCAGGTTAACAAACTAATAGGACTTTTAAATCTTCATCCCCCTCATCAATTTCAGAAAGGAAGCCAAGCTAATTTCATTAATTATTAAAAACTATAAACATTTTACACTTTCTGAACAATATGTGTGCCTCTTATTAATATAACTTGAATACTGCTGTGTCCAGCTGTTAGAAAACATACGGACCAATGTTTATGTTTATGAAAAAATCACAAACTTTGATTTGTTTCTTAAATATATTTATTTATTTAATTGTTTTTATTGTATTTTTTTTCTAAATATTGAACACATTCTAGTTGATTGGTTTTAGCTTGTGTCTTCATGTCTTCACTGGTGCAGCAGTGGCTCAGGAGGTTGAGCGGGTTGTCCAGGAAGGTTGGAAGGTTGCAGGTTTGATCCCAGCTCCCACCAAAGAATGCTGCTGTTGTGTCCTTGGGCAAGACACTTAACCCACCTAGCCTGCTGGTGGTGGTCGGTGGGACCGGTGGCGCCAGTGTACGGCAGCCTCGCCTCTGTCAGAGCACCCCAGGGCAGCTGTGGCTACATCGTAGCTCATCCTCACTAGCGTGTGAATGTGTGTGAATTGGTGAATATCCTCATCCTTTACCATTCATTTAGGAATGCCAGAGATCTACAACGCAACCTTCACTAAATTTTTATGACACAATGTTTTTAACTATATATTAAAGATTATTGAATATTTTGACTGATATTTGACATTCTGTTGAGCTTTGCGGGAGAAACATCGTTAAAAATGCCCGACTAGATCCCTTTGATCCTCTGCTTGCTGAGTAACTGAGAAAAGGAGCAGACTTCAGAGCTGCAGATGACAGAAGAAAGAAACCACAGTGCTAAAACCACCAGACATCTTTCAAACCTTACTCCTACAGAAAAAAATGACATGTTGTTGTCTCAATAGACTTCCGCTATAAAAACTAGCTTGACCAACACCTACGCATTGAAAATGTAAACCAGTCCACCGTCAGCATGAGATAGATACAGCTTCTGAGTTATGAGGACCTGTAATAGTAACGAGGGCAGGTGACAGAAGGATCTCAGGTGATACTGAAGTTATTCGGTTACACCGTTAGGCCTTCCTGAAGCAGAATGTGTGCTTTGAGGTTAAATGACAGCGTGAAGTTTTGGTTTAGGATTTTAAAGGTAAAGGTTTCATTCTGGTGAATGTCTGTTATTGTGACACAAATCTAAACGATAAATGACCCGCACTTGTATAGCGCCTCTCAGAGTAAGGACTCCAAAGCGCTTTACACTACAGTGTATCATTCATCCATTCACACACATTCACACACTGGTGGGGATGAGCTACGATATAGCTACAGCTGCCCTGGGGCGCACTGACTGAGGCGAGGCTGCCGAGCACAGGCGCCACCGGTCCCTCCGACCACCACCAGCAGGCAAGGAGGGTTAAGTGTCTTGCCCAAGGACGCAGCAGAATTCTCTGTCCGGAGCGGGGATCGAAGGTGCCTTCTCAAAAATACAAAAAAATACACAAACAAACACTTTTGTTGTTCAGTCAAGAGTGGTCTAACTATATTTTATGCATCAATTATTCATAGAAATTATTCAAGAAACATCTGATAACCCACAATCATTCATTTCAATTCAATTCAATTCCATTTTATTTACGTAGCGCCAAATCAAGAGAAGAGTCATCTCAAGGCACTTCACATAATAAACATTCCAATCCAAATCCGTGGATAAATAATGGAATTGTTTTAGTGACTGAAACACGTGATTTTAATTATGAGTGCACAGATCAGCTTTAACAACTAATGAACACAGAGATGATCAACTCAGTACGTCTAAATTTTATTTACATCAAATAAACATGAATCATTAAAATATTTAATCACATACAAATTACCTAAAATAAATTATTATTATTATTATTATTATTATTATTATTATTATTATTATTATCATTATCATTATTATTATTATTATTATTATTATCATCATCATCATCATCATCATCATCATTATTATTATTATTATTATTATTATTATTATTATTATTATTATTGTTATTATTAATACACTGCCTGCTTTACTGAAGCAGGCAGTAAAGATGCAAAAACTACCACTGTTAAAAGAAATGTGTGTTAACTTAGAAAATGTAGGCGCAATTTTAATTACTTGTCAACTTTTTCTCCAACATTAGGACTGCTGCAAAAAAAAAAAAATAAATAAATAAATAAAAAAGACTGCTGCTCGCGTGGGCCCCCTTGTGGCCATGGGCCCCTGGGCCCCTGGGCCCTTGGGCCTGTGCCCAGTTTGCCTGTATTATAAGCCGGCCTTGTCCAGTGAATTTATACATCTCATAAAGGAAAACACAATCCCTATAAGGTTTTAAAATACCCCCAAAATAGGGACCAAAATCAGGATCTAAAGACAAAAAAATACTACAAAAAATAAATTTACAAAAGAGTTTCTCATCTTCTATTTACATATCCAGCTGCAGCTCGTAAAAAAAGAAAAATGAAGTGCACCTGCTTCTATTAAATCTAAGTGTGGGAAAAACATGACGCCTTGTTTTCTCTTAAAAATAATTCTACATTATTCAGCGTGCCAGCTGCCAGAGCCGTGAAAGCAATATGAAGAATTTTTGCTGCCTAAACACTTTTTAAAATAAAACAAGGAGGTATTGTTGGTCTTTTCAAAAGGGCTTTGTGGTTAGAGTTGTAACATTTTAATGTGACAATGTTTCTGTGGCGTTGTTTCAGATTTGAGTCACAGAGGCAGAACTGAGTCAACTATTACAAACTGCAGGTCTTTAGAGATTATTTAAGACAAATGTTTGTTCGTCTGCACACACACACACACACACACACACACACACACACACACACAACACACAAGCACACACACCTTTGTGCATGCGTGAGTGTGCGTGCTTGCGCGCGTGCATGCCTGTGTGTCTGAGATGAGGGTTGTGTGACGACATTGATGACGCATAAACTGGAACACTCCACTCACAGAGGAAGTGAGTTGGTGCTAGAATCTCTCCAGCCAATTCTTCTGCATGAGAATGTTTATTTATTATTAGGGTGGATTGTTTATTTTGTACACAGAAAGGTTTCAGTCGTACCACACATAGAATAAAATGGGTGAAACAAATGATTTTACTTAAACCAAAATCTCAGGATACATTGTTCTGACGAACATGACCAAGATTATGATGAGTTACACAGCCTGATGATACAAGAAAGGCTTAATATTTATTTTCCACGATGTTATTTAGCTCCACACTATATTTTTGGGTCAGACTTAAATATTTATTTCCCAAATACTGATTTTGCAAACTAAATGTTTAGCTCTAAAATAAATATTTAGCTGGGATCTAAATATTTATTTCGGAAAATAAATATTGAATTTACAAAATAAATATTTAATTAGTAAGTTAAATATTTGTTTAGTGAATTCAATATTTATTTTACAAACTAAATATTTAGATCAGACCTAAATATTTAGTTTGCAAAATAAATATTTAACTATAAATTAAGTATTTAGCTTGCTATTTATTTGGAAACTTTAACATTTATAAATGTATGAATAACATGGTGAAAATATGACTTCGAAAAAGTGAACTCCCAATTTTTTCTCTTATGATATGCCAAATAACCAAAAATATTGCTGTTAGATTATGACTGTTTGACTTTACAAATGGCACCCCATAGTGATTCAACAAACTACTACAAAGTAATTGCTGAATGATTGTGTGTTTGTGGTGACACCTGTGGAAACTAAACAGCCACCACTGCCATCATCACACATCTGGTTTTAAAAAGCAGGTTTATTTACATATTACCAAAGTGAAGTACAATTTGAGATTCATATCAAACATTAACAGCGTTATAAATGACAAAACATACAAATTCATTTGAACAGAAAGTGGAAAATACAAAAGCTGAAAAATGTATTAAACCTGAACAAACCTTTACATTTGAAAACATGTTTTAAACCTTTATAAGAAACAAAAATGCTTCTTCTCGATATGCATGCTATACATAAAATATATAGTACTAAATTATTTAAACAAAATGAAAATTAAATGCTGATCTTGTTTCAGTTAAGATTCTTGGAACAGAAACCAACCCAGTTTCAGGTAACTGAAGAGATCTGTACAATTCCTTTAAATGAACGGTTGAGTTTGAATCAGCTCGCTGAGATAGGCAGGGCTGGTGTGCAGACCTGGGGAGGTGATAGGATCTGTTTTTTTTTTTGGTCTACTGGAGGACACGTGCAACAGCATTTAAAATCTGCTGCATCTGTTTGACGCCACAAAGTACTGACACCCCTACAGGCGCCGGCTCCAACATTTAGGCTTATTTGTTTCATAATGGCTGGGTTCTTCATGACGACTGGTGCGCTCAAGTTAAAACTGGAACTTCTGATCTCGCTGCTGGAAAGTGAAATTTGAGGGAAGATTCCGCGTTGCCGCTGGAGATGCTGCGATCGGGTGATGTTGGAGAACAAACTGAGGGCACTGTGAGAGCAGGAGATGTGGCAGAGATAGATGTAGAGCTCACCATCTGCAGCCTTAACTGGAATCCACATGGGCAGCCCAAATCATGCATGAGTTGCAGCACATCCTTACGGAAGCGCATGCCGACCAGACCATACAGAATGGGGTTGAGGCAGCAGCGGGAGTAAGCCAGAGTACAGGTGGCATACTCTAGCACCGTAGTTTTGGACTTTCCCGCTAGTTTGAGAGACAATATCAAGGTGTAGGGCAGCTGGAACATCAGAAAAGCTAAGACCAGAAACACCATTAGCTTCAGCGTACGCTGACGATGCCACTGTTTACCTTTGCGATGCACGTGGCCGCCCCATAAAACTACACCAATGGAAGTATAGCATGTCACCATGATGACAAAGGACACACAGAAGACAGCAATGATGGTACCACTGGGGGCCATCCTGACGAGCCCTGCTGCTTGAAGGCCACAGTATAGTGAACCAGCATTCATGTTGACTCCAGAGTAGATGATTTCAGGCAGGCTGAGGAGAACAGCAGCAATCCAGACACCTACAGCAGCAACATTTCCTGCTGTCAGTATCAGGCTGCGCAGTCGCAGCATCTTATGGGCTCGTGTAACCACCATGTAGCGGTCGACGCTTATGCAGGCAAGCAGCAGCAGCCCGCTGTACGTGTTGATAGCGTAGCATGCACGCATGATTTTGCAAATGAGGGCAGGAAAGATCCAACCCAGATGGGTGTCAATGGCCTGCAAAGGGATGGTGAGGAGCAGGATGAGGTCTGCCAGCGCAAGGTGGAACAGAAAGACATCAGTCATGGAGCGAAGCCGGAGGCAACAGTAGCGGGCAAAGGTGGCGATCACGAGGCAGTTTCCTACAACGCCTAGTAGAAAGATCACGCAGAAAGCACACGTCTGGAATGTTTTGATCATGTTTTCTTGATGTTTATCAGGCCCACCATACAAGTCAGAGTCATGGCCATCATAATCGCTGTAACTGTCATTTGAGAGATTTTGGTAATACCACTCTGTTGAGAGAAAGAGAGAGAATAATTAATCACCAAACAAAATATGGCCATCCCTCTTTAACCCCTTATAGAGCCAGCTTCCATATTTAGACACTTCCACTCACATCACTGATTATGTAGGTGCGCCTTTTCATGCACTAGAATTACAAGATTTCATACAACCAATCATCGGAGATCAAGCTAGCCACAGATTGAGCCATGGCGTTGTCCAGCCAATCAGTGTGGGTCAGTGAGGCGCCAAACATTAGTATGTCTGCGAAACCAGAAAACTGCTCAGTCTCTCCTTGTGTTTACAGTTGGATCTTTAGGAAATTCTCATACGACACAGTTGACTAGTTGTGCTAAATAAGGATATATGTGTTGTAAATGTTGAACTCAATATGAAATCATAGCATGACAATTGGAGTTGCCATATTAGAACAAACACACTGAACAAGTAAAAGAAAATATTTATATTTTTATGATTAAAATATTTGTTGTTTTTATGTGTTTTTAATACAATCTTCAAAACCATGGTAAAGTAGTAGTAGTTTTAAACTAAGATTTAGGTGAAAAACAGAGAGGGAAAGTTATTGCACCAGCCAACTTTGCCACCAGTGATGATGAAGAGGAGGAGGAAGGTGACTATGAGGCAGATTATCAGACATATTCTAAAATATTATAATATTTTATATTTGATCACAGATGTTATCCATTGCTCATTAACTTTCAAATATATTCAAAAGTTTTTATAAAAAGTGTGTTATATTGGATAATAAGTGTGATATTTTACAGTAAAATAACATTCTAAAGTGTACTAGATTGTTTTGACAACTAAATTCTATAAATTAGATAAATATACAGATTTTATTGTTTATAGTTATTTTATTTGAATATTTATATTGGGTAGTACTAGTACAGTAGAACCGTGACACCTGTGTACAGCAGCCAGTGTGTCCCAGGGCAGCTGTAGCTATTGTAGCTCATCACCATCAGTGTGTGAATGGATGAATGATTGACTGTGGTGATTCACTGTGGATTCCTCTGACTCAGAAAGGTGTTGTCAGCTGGTTTGCATTTAGTTGGACTATTCTCTGTTTTTCATCAGGACAATGTCCCCAAATGCACGTCCAGGCTGTGTAGGGGCTTTTGGACCAGGAGTGATCTACCAGATGACATGGTATTTCATATGTGTTAATTCTAAGTTCTGATGTCATCAAGAATCTAGAATAAGATGTCATAAAGAGAAAGAAATATGTTAAATGTTAGGACTTTTGACTGGAAGTATAATCCTCACCTTCATTGCTGAAAAGCGGCTCAGACAGTGTGCTGATAAGCCCATAATGAAGACTCTGACTCATTTTGAGTTCCTGCAAAATACCACGACCAGACAAGCTTGCGTGAGGACTTCTAATTGCTCAAAAAGCTGTAAATTTCCAATTTACATGAAGCCTAGGTTGATTCTGAGCAGTTCAGCACCTGGGAGAAGGGGCTCCCGGATGCCCCTCTGGGACAAACCCAGTTGGACACATCATGGACTCCTGGAAACAGTGGAACTTGATCTGTTTATCTCAGCTGTCTGTAGGGGATTCTGAAGACGTGTGGATATTCATGGTGTTGGTGTCAGGTTTCCTGCTCATTGGCCTAGGAGGCTACCTGGCTTACCGGAAAATTAACGAGCTGTCGAGGAATATTGGCTTGCTCCCGGAGCTCAGAGATGGTTTGCACTGCGCTGTGAATTCACAGACTCACATAATTGTCTAGATGAATCGTAAGCTTGGGACTTTGGCCGATATTCATGCTTTGGCACAAAAGATGGATGCCATCAAGGAGAAAGTGGGCGAATCAGCATGGATTGGGATAGATTAATGTACGCCATTATTGGGATTTTGAGAGGCTGAGGACCAAGGAACTCTAAGACAGAGAGGAAATTATCTCTGTCTGGCCCCAAAACAATTTCTAATCTGAATCTGGTGCCCTTGAGCCTGTAAGCCTCCAACGAATACTCCCCCCTCAGAAGATATGTGGAATGCTGTCGCTATGGCAACTCTGTCTCCTATCCCAGCCTGGGCAGGACTTCGGGCTGTGAAGGTCGGAGAATCGTTCCAGGAGTCACTGCACATTCCAAACCTCAACGACCCCCCCCCCCCCCCCCCCCGGTTCAGACTGACGTGACGTGTGCTGCTTATCGTGGCTGCAGGAACTGACGTGTGGAGAGTCCCAAACCCACCGCCCCATCTAGTGGACACTTATGTTGTGTGATGATGTCTGAAGTCTGCTGCATCTCTGTCTGAGGTGTATTTTTGCATAGCAAAGCTGCCCTCCCTGTGGAGGGTAACTCTGAAGTGCCTTTTTTCTCTCCCTGAACCAATCCTCATGTAACCCTCTGATCTCTATTAAGGTAGCGCGACTCAGGGTTGCGAATGTCCACAGTCATCAACTCTTGTCACGTGTCTTGCCCATGTATGTCTGATCTCTGAATTGTGTGTACTGAAACTCTAATTTCCCTCTGGGATTAATGAAGTATCTTTCAATTGAATTTGAATTTTGTGAAGATATCAGGAAACACCGACTTGTAGAAACGAGCTGAAAGTCAAAGATCTGTTGCTTTGCTCCTCAGTTTCAGTCAGCAGCTGTGATATTTCAGTCATTTAGCTCTGGGTTGCGTGACACTGGCATCAGGTCGTTGGCACAGGGGAAATCGTGGGTAGCTTTAAGCTCTACAGATCAGTCAGTGTCGCGTGCTAACAGCCTTTATAGACAGTTTCTACAATAGCTTTTTTTCATTCCATCTTTCAGTATGCTGCTTTGTTAGCACTCAGGCTGCTTGCAGAGTTAAATTGCGTCTGTTTTTTTCTGAAATACCTTTTTAAATAGCGTGATTGGGACAGTTACGGAGTTTTGCTCTTGACAGGTAAGAGGAAAACCTTTGGTAGATGGTGTGGAGTCAGAGGCTGGGGTTAATAAAACTGCTTTAGAAACAAGCTGCTTTTCATATCAAAGCAGAAGAACAGGGAAACGAGAGGCTGAAACATGGAAAGTCAGTTCACTCTTTTCAAGCTTGACGGAGTAGATTTAGCCTGTGCAAACCTTTTTAGGGGTGTTGCATAATGTGATTATTTTTGCTTTGTAAAGTTAAAAAACAACTGACTGAGAAATTCAACAAAATGCTAGAAAATTTAAGCGTGAATGGCTCTGGAGGCTGAGAGGAAGTAGAAAAAACCGACTCGTATGTTGTACGTTTATGTAGTTTGCATCAGTCAGGGGTGTTCAAATGTAACACAAAGTGTTGACAGAAGTCAAATGCCTTTAATGATTCAAGAAACTAAACATTAGGGAAGTATCACCATTAAACACACAGCTGCCGTGTGGTGCATTAAGGGAAGTGTGTACAGTGTGTAAAGAAGTGCAGCCTGGATCTCAGATTAAAATGCCTTTCTTCCTCTGCGTTTTATCGCTTTGCTGTTCAGATAATGCGGCAGATCGCATGCCACCAGATCATCTTCCTCTCTCACTCTGACTCAGACTCTTCGCTCTGTCTTTGACGACTTCAGTAACTCTTGGTGAGCGTTCATCCTGCTGCTCTACGCTCACCTGCAAGCTAAATGTCAAACACCAAATATCAATCTCAAATGAAGCATTGTAAAAGTAAGTGTGATAACTGAAATAATGCATCTAAGTTTGTTAAAATGCCCTTCATTTAAATGTAGTCCCGCCCATGGAACAAAACCCATTACAGCCATGGGACGCGGACTTTTAAGGTTAAACTACAATGTCCTCGTTCTTTAACTCATCTAATAATTAAAGCAATTAGCAGCATCAAAAATGTAGCTTTGTAATTATTTTGTAGTAGCTTGTGAATTTTCAAAACAATGAAAATCATGCTATAAGATGACGAAAGTATAAATAGCTTAAAAATTCTACATATTTAATAAGGCGAGGCTCGGCTTTCGTTCATTTCAAAAAACTTTCGGACGTTTACATTTTACAAGTTTAGCTCTGTTTTTCTGCAAACCGCTTTGCCTCTTAAATCGGGCAGTAAGCAGCAAAAACGATTACCTGTAAATGAGATAAAACATTTCTGAAAGTCACCGTAAAAACACTGCTCTCTCGTGTCGTTGTCTGGATTTGATTTGTTATTTGCTTCTGGTACCTGTCAGTACCTATTTGTTTGTTTTGAGAAATTCAAATATTACAAAACAGTCTGCCGGGTTTTTCCCAGATGCTATAACTTTAACATTATTATACAAAATAATAACATCATAAAACATGACACATTTACAATCAAGCTGAAAGTGAGATCATCGCTGGATGCAGCTGGGTGCAGCTGCTCGTTCTGCTTCAAACTATAAAAAATCATTTCTTTCTTAACGGAAATGAGACTGTTGTTATTGAAGCTTCTGCTTTGCCTGCTTTAGGAGTAAAACTATTATTGAATCAGCTGTCTGACATTAAATTGTTGGTTTCACTGCTGCTCAAGAAAACAAAGGAAATCTAATTTTTTAATATAGTGAAAATTCCAGGAAGCTTGTAAAAGGTTTTATTTGAAAGCAGACAGACAAATAAAAGCTCCATCGCAGGCTCTATTTTTACATTTAATTTTTAAAGCTCTCTTCTCCTTGGTGTTGTCAAAAGGATGAAGGTTTTACCGGATCTACATCTACATCGGCATCTTTGCTAGCTATAAATCCTTTTTATTCAGTTTACGCACAAATCTAGAGAAATAAAACAATAACAGCTTTTTTAATTAACTCACCTGTGCTATTAAACATATCCCAGGCCATCTTCCTACGCCCGCAGAACAGATTTGTGAACCTGGCACTCTTAAAAACAAGACTGGGCTCAGCCTTAGCCACCACAAGCCAATGAGATGGGTTCTGTGTTTTGCTGACCTCACTCTACCCCTGCCAAGGTTGTTTGTGTTCAGTTGTTTGGAACTTCAACCCTTTTTGATAGTTTTGAAGTGCTGTGTCTCTGTGGGCTGCTGTTTTTCTTCCAAATCCTGAAATGCTTCATAGCTTTTTGATCTGCACAATGGTGTCTTTAGCCAAGAGGCCCGTCATCCCTGCAAACAATTAAATAACAGAACCTTTTGGGTTATTTTTTTCTATCTTAAATTGTGCTTATATTGTGCTGTTTAAATAATCCTTCATTTACTATCTAAATGTGTCCTGGTACAAGGACAGGAAGAAGAAAAAATAAATAAAAAGGCGTTTTACCCACCGGTAAAAACATGGCAAACCACATCTGGGTGGAACAACTGGTACTAAACCAGTTCACAACCTTTCGGTGTGGTTGTTGGTTGGTTTTCGAGTCATCTCTCCACATGGGGAGAGCCAGTCAGGTGCAGGTTTGAATAACTGCTGGAGGTCGTTTCAGGTACATTAAAATAAAATATATAAAATGAAATCAAAGTTCAAAATAAACCACACTATAGAAACAATCTGTAAGGGAGGCTGTGGTTTGATTTTTCTGGTCTGACTCAGTTCAAACATTTAAGTTGTTAAGTACAACTTCAAACCAAACACAACGCATCAATACCAACCAGGTGAGAACAGTGTTGGGAGTAACACGGTACAAAAGTAATTAATTACTGTAATGCGTTGCTTTTTGCTGTAATGTGGTAATGTAAAGCATTACAGGGACAGAAAATGGTAATATTTACTCGGTACAATTGTCAGTAACGCGGTAATTACGATGCATTTTAAAACCCAGAATCAAGATGTGGGTTTCGTAAAATTTCAGCCTGAAAAAAGATCCAGTATCCACATATATGACGTCATTTATGGACTCGGCTTTGCGGGCATGCTATGAGCAGAGAGGACGCAGCGGTAATGGCTCAAATACTCCAGCTGCGTCCTGCGCGCGGCCGCTGTTATATTCACAAAATCGCTCCACCAAAACAAAGTCATTCACTTGCGATCGTTTATATCAGCCCATATTCTCTGGTACTTCATGTACTTTTCAGCTGAGTTCATAATCTGTGCCCCAGGGATTTCAACTCATTGCTGCTGGAGCGCAGCGCAAGCTTTTTATTTATTTTTTTGCGTTCAGTAGATCCCTTTGGCTGATTAGTTAGAAAGTAGGAAATCTAGGAAACAGTTTTTCTGGAAGACAGAGAAAACATGCAGCATGCAGGAAGGTTAAGGGCAGGAAGTTCTTCTAATAAAATCAAGAAAACAAAACAAAGTGCTTGAAAAGAAAAAAGTAGGTAGATTTATCCCCAACACACATTTTTACCAGTGAAAAGCAATAGTATATAAGAATTTAATATTTATACATGTGATAGAATCAGATCACCCCAGAAGTCAGTCCCACATCCAGGGCCGTATCAAGGCATTTGGGGACCAAGGCAAATATAGGCTTGGAGCCCCCACCACCTCACTCCCTGCTCAGTTAATATAAGATGGCAGCATGCTGAGAGTACAAATTGTTGTTGCTTTTATTTAATAAACAATCATTTTAAAGCACTGTTATTATATCTGACTGTTTTTAACATCAACCCTAGCTCAGACACCACATCACCTTCCACATATATGTCATGAGCTCACTGAGCGTCACATTACCAGATTCATGTTGAAGTTGTTTTGGTGAAAGTAACTTAAAGTAAAGCAAAAGTAGTGTAATGCCTTACACTTTAAAATCAGTAATATTGTAATGTAATTAATTACTTTAAAATGAGGGTAACAAGTAATAAATAATGCATTACAGTTTTGAAGTAACTTGCCCAACACTGGGTAAGAAGGTCCAGTCTGGTTGGTCAGGTTAAATGCAGGCGGGCCCACCAGAAGGTCCTATATTCTAACATCGAGCACACGGTCTAACCGCGAGGCAACAGGAACTCAGGAGGTAGAGTTGGGTTGTGACGCTATTGGTGGACTGCCGGCTCACTCCTGGGAACTCTGCTGTTGTGTCCTTGGGCAAGACGCTTAATAAATAATATATTCTCTGTAAAGAGCTTTGGATGCCTTGAAAAGCGTCATAGAAATCTAATCTGTTATATTTAATCCACTCTCACGCTGGTCACAGGTCACCACAGAGACATCAGTCTGGTCAGGTGTGGCTTGAGATGCAAACCAAAGATCGTCAAAAGTTCAGCGGGTTGGTCCAGCTGAGGGACAACGTGCAGAAACATCTGGGTGTGACTGCTGACTCAAACCAAATCTGTTCACAACCTTTCCCTGACACCTTCTGGAGGCAACTCCTTTAACCCTTTCTGATTTAACCAGGCTCGCTCACTGAAATCCCTGCTACATCTGCAGGTAATTGTAACTTTTGGAGCAACATTTCCTGGGTTAGAGGTAAATTCTGCATTAGATAAATAAAAATACAGACTTCTGCAGAATTGATAGCAAGTGTTTTGGTGCAAATGTGTTGCCTGATGCTGCAGACTGTAACAATGTGAAACACCAGACCACAGTGGCTGGTTTCCATACCATGGGAAACCTGCACAGCAGGCTGATTTACATCACTCTCACTCATGAGAACTGTTGGCATGTTGACAGCTGTGCTCGGATGGTGATGCTCCTTGATCCACCGTGTGGTTAAAATTTGATTTTATCCATTCCCCATGCTTGTCTGTGTGTTTGGTTAACGGTTAATGCAAACTAGTGTGAAACTGGTGATCTGCTCGTGAATAACAAGCAGGGTCAACAGTCACTTGTCATAACAAACAAAATCTTTACAATACTTTAATAAGATTGTGAACCCTATGAATATTTCTTTGCTGTGTTTCTGAATGTTGAGAATAATTCCTACCATCTCATCCAGAGAAACCATTTGTCTGTAGATGAGTAAAGCAAGGCCCGCCTCACGGATGGAGCAGTATTTGTGCTACAGTATCTGGTGTGTGACAACATGGCAAAACATACACACTGATATCAAACATGACTGTTCCCTGATCAGACGGGAAGATGAAACGTGACTTTGTAGTACACAAGCATGGTGGACGAGCATGCAGCATGTTCCTCACTTTCTGACTGGCTAACTATCAGATTCAACAGGCCAATTTGTTTGTTCCCAAAAATCAGTCCAAGACAATCCAACGTGTTAGTAAGCACAGATTTATGATTGGAGCGGTCCCAACATGCTTCTGAGTAGGTGGAGAGCCATTACGGTAATCTGACACATCGGCAAGGCTGTCGGAGAAATTTGGTCCGATTATCCTGCCGTGTGAAACAGGCTTAAGCACTACACATACGTTGTCGTCGTCATCTTCCTCCGCTTATCCGGGTCCGGGTCGCGGGGGCAGCATCCCAACTAGGGAGCTCCAGACCGTTGTCTCCCCGGCCTTCTCCACCAGTTCCTCCGGCAGGACCCCAAGGCGTTCCCGGACCAGATTGGAGATGTAACCTCTCCAACGTGTCCTCGGTCGACCCGGGGGCCTCCTGCCGGCAGGACATGCCCGAAACACCTCCCCAGGGAGGCGTCCAGGAGGCATCCTGACCAGATGCCCAAACCACCTCAACTGACTCCTTTCGATCCGGAGGAGCAGCGGTTCTACTCCGAGTCCCTCCCGAATGTCCGAGCTCCTCACCCTATCTCTAAGGCTGAGCTCGGCCACCCTACGGAGGAAACTCATTTCGGCCGCTTGTATCCGTGATCTCGTTCTTTCGGTCATTACCCAAAGCTCATGACCATAGGTGAAGATTGGGACGTAGATCGACCGGTAAATCGAGAGCCTGGCTTTCTGGCTCAGCTCCCACTTCACCACGACAGATCGGCTCAGCGTCTGCATCACTGCAGATGCTGAACCAATCCACCTGTCAATCTCCCGATCCCTCCTACCCTCACTTGTGAACAAGACCCCAAGATACTTAAACTCCTCCACTTGAGGTACTTTAGCCCCAGTTGACGTCAGTAGATCCCCATCCCCACTGTAAACAGTGTGAGCGAGTTGCTGCCTCCCTCTTCTGAGGCGCCGGACAGTTTGCCAGAACCTCTTTGGAGCCGATCGAAAGTCTTTCTCCATGGCTTCACCAAACTCCTCCCACACCTGAGATTTTGCCTTGGCAACTGTCACTGCTCCACCCTGCTTGGCTATCCAGTATCTGTCTGCTGCCTCCGGAGACCCACAGACCAGCCACGCCCTGTAGGCCTCCTTCTTCAGCCTGACGGCTCCCCGAACCTCTGGTGTCCACCAGCGGGTACGGGGGTTGCCACCATGACTGGCACTGGCCACCTTGCGACCACAGCTAGCAACAGCCGCCTCAACAATCGCAGAGTGGAACAAGGGCCACTCGGAGTCAATGTCCCCCACTGCTATCGGGACGTGGTCAAAGCTCTGCCAGAGGTGGGAGTTGAAGATCGTCTTGACAGGTTCTTCTGCCAGGCGTTCCCAGCAGACCCTCACTATGCGTTTGGGTCTGCCAGGTCTACGCGGCATCTTCCCCTGCCATCTGATCCAACTCACCACCAGGTGGTGATCAGTTGACAGCTCCGCTCCTCTTCACTCGGGTGTCTAAAACATATGGCCGCAGGTCAGATGATACGACTACAAAGTCTATCACTGACCTGCGACCTAGGCTGCCCTGGTACCAAGTGTACCGATGGCCATCCTTATATTTGAACATGGTGTTCGTTATGGCAGAACTGTGTCTTGCACAGAAGTCCAATAACAAAACACCACTCGAGTTAAGATCAGGCGGGCCGTTCCTCCCAATCACACCCCTCCAGGTCAAGCTGTCATTGCCCACGTGAGCATTGAAGTCCCCCAGCAGAACAATGGAGTCCCCTGATGGAGCACTATCTAGCACTCGTCCCAGGGACTCCAAAAAGAGTGGGTACTCTGAACTGATATTTGATCCATAAGCACAAACAACAATCAGGACCCGTTCCCCGACCCGAAGGCGCAGGGAAGCTACCCTCTCGTCCCCCGGGGTAAACCCCAACACACAGGCAGAGAGTCTTGGGGCTAACAAAAAGCCAACCCCAGCCCTCCGCCTCTCACCCGGAGCAATTCCAGCAAAGGAGAGTGTCCAACCCCTCTCAAGGACTTGGGTTGCAGAGCCAGTGCTTTATGTCGAGTTGAGTCCGACTATATCTAGCCGGTACCGCTCAACCT